CTGTCCATCACGAACACCATGTTCGAGCACAAGGGTGTCCACCAGTGCACGTGGCACCAGGACACCCTAGGCCGGAGGTCGATGATCGACTTTGTTGTCGTATCATCTGACCTTCGACCGCGTGTCTCGGACACTCGGGTGAAGAGAGGGGCGGAGCTGTCAACCGACCATCACCTGGTCGTGAGTTGGATCCGCTGGCAGGGCAGGAGGCCGGTCAGACCTGGCAGGCCCAAGCGTGTAGTGAGGGTTTGCTGGGAACGTCTCGCTGAGCCCCCTGTCAGACGGACTTTCAACTCACACCTCCGGGAGAGCTTCTCCCAGGTCCCGGCAGAGGAAGGGGACATCGAGTCCGAGTGGACCATGTTCTCTTCCTCTATCGCCAATGCGGCGGCTCGTAGCTGTGGTCGCAAGGTCTCTGGTGCTGGTCCCGGCGGCAATCCCCGAACCCGGTGGTGGACACCGGCAGTAAGGGATGCCGTCAGGCTGAAGAAGGAGTCCTATCGAGCAATGATGGTTCGTGGGACTCCGGAGGCAGCTGTCCAGTACCGGCAGGCCAAGCGTGCCGAGGCCCGGGCTGTTGCAGAGGCAAAAACCCGGGACTGGGAGGAGTTCGGAGAGTCCATGGAGTATGACTATCGGTCGGCCTCGAAGAGGTTCTGGCAAACCGTCCGGTGCCTCAGGAGGGGGAAGCAGTTCTTTGCCAACACCCTGTATGGTGCGGGTGGAGGGCTGCTGACCTCGACTGGGGATATTGTCGGACGGTGGAAGGAATACTTCGAGGTTCTCCTCAATCCCCCCGTCACGTCCTCCGTCCAGGAGGCAGAGGCTGAGGATGTTGGGGCGGATACTTCCATCTCCCTGGCCGAGGTCACCAAGGTGGTTGGCAGCCTCCATGGTGGCAAGGCGCCGGGAGTGGATGAGATCCGTCCTGACTATCTAAAGTCTCTGGATGTTGTAGGACTGTCTTGGCTGACACGTCTCTGCAACATCGCGTGGCGATCGGGGGCGGTGCCAATTGAGTGGCAGACCGGGGTGGTGGTCCCTCTCTACAAGAAGGGGGACCGGAGAGTGTGTTCCAATTATCGTGGGATCACACTCCTCAGCCTCCCCGGTAAGGTCTACTCCAAGGTACTGGAGAGGAGGCTACGTCCGATGGTCGAATCTCGGATTCAGGAGGAGCAGTGTGGTTTTCGTCCCGGTCGCGGAACACTGGACCAGCTCTATACTCTCCATCGGATACTCGAGGGTTCATGGGAGTTCGCCCAACCTGTCCACATGTGCTTTGTGGATTTGGAGAAGGCGTTCGACCGTGTTCCCCGGGGTGTCCTTTGGGGGGTCCTCCGGGAGTACGGGGTCCGGGGTCCTCTGCTGAGGGCCGTCCGGTCCCTGTATGACCGGAGTCAGAGCTGTGTTCGCATTGCCGGCAGTAAGTCAGACCTGTTCCCGGTGCATGTTGGCCTCCGCCAAGGCTGCCCTTTGTCACCGGTTCTGTTCACTGTATTTATGGACAGAATTTCTAGGCGCAGCCAGGGGCCGGAGGGGGTCCGGTTCGGGGACCACAGGATTTCATCTCTACTTTTTGCGGATGATGTCGTCCTGCTGGCTCCAACGAACCAGGACCTGCAGCATGCATTGGGACGGTTTGCAGCCGAGTGTGAAGTGGCTGGGATGAGAATCAGCACCTCCAAATCCGAGGCCATGGTGCTCGACCGGAAAAAGGTGCCTTGCCCTCTCCAGGTGGGTGGAGAGGTCCTTCCTCAAGTGGAGGAGTTCAAGTATCTCGGGGTCTTGTTCACGAGTGAGGGAAGGATGGAGCATGAGATTGACAGGCGGATCGGTGCAGCGTGCGCAGTGATGCGATCTCTGTATCGGACCGTTGTGGTAAAGAGGGAGCTGAGCCGAAAGGCGAAGCTCTCGATTTACCGGTCAATCTTTGTTCCCTCCCTCACCTATGGTCATGAACTTTGGGTAATGACCGAAAGAACGAGATCGCGGATACAAGCGGTCGAAATGAGCTTCCTCCGCAGAGTGGCTGGGCGCTCCCTTAGAGATCGGGTGAGGAGCTCGGTCACACGGGAGGAGCTCGGAGTAGAGCCGCTGCTTCTCCACGTCGAGAGGAACCAGTTGAGGTGGCTTGGGCATCTGTTCAGGATGCCTCCTGGACGCCTTCCTGGGGAGGTGTTCCGGGCACGTCCCACCGGGATGAGGCCCCGGGGAAGACCCAGGACACGCTGGAGGGACTATGTCTCTCAGCTGGCCTGGGAACGCCTTGGGGTCCCCCCGGACGAGCTGGAGGAGGTGTGTGTGGATAGGGAAGTCTGGGCGTCTCTGCTTAGACTGCTGCCCCCGCGACCCGGCAACGGATAAAGCGGAAGAAAATGGATGGATGGATGGATGGATTTTGAGCTTTTCGGTGTTGGTCAAAATTTTATCGGGAGATGTATTATTACTCACATACACCTAATCTTTTTCCTTTCTACTTGGTTTTGCATTGCCTCCATTGCCGGTATAGTAATGTCAATTTGGGTTCAGGGTTAAATATACAATAAAGCCCTATGTTTTTGTATTAAATGTGCAATATTGATACATTTCCTTCCTTTCTATAGTTTTGACCGCTTTTCTTTGTCGACTAATTGATCAACGGGACACATTTTTAGCCAACCAAGAATATTCATGGTCAACTACAGCCCTTCACCTCCACTGTAATTTCCCCAAATTATTATACCCACTAAAAAGCCTAAAGTACAGCACCTAACTCAAACTGAATGATAATTTCTCCGTCTCTCTGCCGTCTTCATAACTGAGCCTGGTAGTTACCCACATCTGATAATTTAGCCAAGAATTACATCCATTTTTTCTTTTTTTTTGGTGCAATCCATTTAATTTCTTCATGTAGCCACATTTGAAGCGCTGACACAGACTGAATGTTGCTGAGGCCGCATCAGGTTTGCAATCAGAACACTGTTTAATGTATATGGCACAGTGGCCTGTAATGGGAGCACTGCCATCTCACCGGAGCACCCGCGTACAAACAGCAACAACCCCACAAATCCAACTAGCGCACGCATCACTATCAATGGGGAATACAGATCTACTCAGCATTACTATTCCGAGTGCTGGAAAAACAAGTCGGCAGAAAAACATGTAGTATTTATACAGATATTTCTTCCATCCCCGTTCATTTGCAAGTCTAATCAAATCCCAGTTATTCTTTCTTGCCGGGTTATTAATGCAGCAACAACACATTTGGAATATGCCATGTCAGATGATTTTTTTTTTTTTTTTCACTCGCTCTTTCATTAGGAGGCTCAAAAATACTACGGTTCTCACTGCAGCGATCAGAGCCACAAACAAGGCATTATTTATTCCTGCTCAGAGTTTTCCAAAAAAAGTACCCCTAGAACAGAAACTCCATTCCCCGAAGTGGAATACATTTGAATTTGGAGCAAAAACAATGAGCTTTTTAGATCTTGTGTTTAATCAGCAGCCTTGATTTTAAAATTAGACCAAAGTTATGTGATGTGACGGAGCTAATATGTGCAAGTAGCCTATTTGGCAACAGTAGAAAAGTCGTTAATGTGGCCGAATGTAACTTTTCTTTCGCAAAACACTCTCTGGATATAGTATAGTTTTTGGTGAACATTTACAGCCAAAATGAAACAAGCCTTCCTCCAGGTCAAGTCAGGTTTGTGGAAATGCAAGCTTGCAGATGTTATCCTTTTTTAGTAGGATGAAAAGTCTCTGAAAAGTCTGTTATTGTAATCTGTCAATTTGGGTCAACTATATGTAATAAATAAATGTGTCCTAAATATTCTTTGATATAGTTTTAGCTTTACATATGCGCCTCATATGCTATACTCATTCATCTCCTTTATTCTGAAGAATCTTGGTTTCTAATAGTCTAGTTCTTGCTGGACTTTTAGGTGCACCTGTATACAAACTGCACCAACTACATTATAAGATTAACTAAATCCTGTCCACATATAGGCTGCACATGGATACAGCCTATATGTGGACAGGACCACAGCTAATAGAGCAAAACAAAGCCGATAGACAACTATTTTAACTGGTCACAACATGATTTAATAGTCCTAATGACTAATGAACAAGTCTTGTGTAATCCTTGCTCTTGCTCATCTGTCTGCTGTTCACATAAACATCCTGAAGCAAGTCCAAATTCCCAGGGGGAGCTCTAACAAAATAAAAATACATATATTGGCTTCATCTCCATATAGGCTGCAGAGTTCACAAACATGAAAATAGCAGTGCCTTGTATAGTCCAGCACGTACTAGGATTAGTTGTATATAGGCCTGGAACTTTCCCTTTCACATGTTTTGGGTAGCAGTACAAAAAGGAACGTGCTTGGTTTTCAGTATTTGTTCCTAAACAGTTCTTTTTCATTCCTTTTCCAGTATTCATTATCGTCTAGAATAGAAATGAAGATGCTTATGTTCATAAATTACAAAGTTTTCATAATTTATGAGACTGTAACTTAGAAACAGAAACTTTCCACAGTGCTCTCCCAGAATCCACCAGGCATAAAATGTGAAATGTGAAGTTCCAGACCTATATAACTAATCCTATGTATGCCAAACTGCAACAACAAAAGCATTGAAATGAATTAGAATTATTTATTTAGTATCAAAATAAAAGTATAAGGTAATAAATACTTTTTGTGGTTTTAATCTGGACTCTTAGTGATTTACAAAACATCAATACATTCAAAAAATCTGTCCACTGTAAGTCTCAAGATGGTTTGATATTGGCCCCTTTTCCAGTATACCCTGTAAGAGAGGGCACCTGGCGTAAAAATATAAAAAGTTAGAAGTACTCTTGCTGTACACAGTAGCTCTGTGAGTAATGCTGACCCATGACTGTGATCGCTCAGAGCATTTGGATCAGACAAGTCGCTATAAGACAGTGGTGCGCCCTGTTGCAATAAACCTTGATACATAATTAGATTACCCATGTTAATTTTCTGACCTCCACAGGCGCCTGCATGTTAAGCACTCTGCTGTCTCCTCAGAGGTGCATGCGACACACATAACGCTGGCCCTGGTGTTATGACCCTCTTCAACAGGGAAATAAAATCAGGGAGAATGGCTGGTGGACTGCTTAGACTTCCATTTCAGGGGCTGCTGTGGTGTGCAGTGCGGCCATCCGACATTATCAGCAGCACGATATACCCTCAACCTCTCCCTGCCCCTTGTGACAATTACTGGCCTACCTCCCTATTCAGGCCGTAATGAGAAAACTGACTGATCGATTGTGTCCAGCCAGTAAAACGGGAAGGCGAAGGGGGAGCGAGCCCAACTGCAGTGTGTCAAATGTAATGCGGTAAGATTCACACTGTCAACCCGTTTCCAACAGACATGTTTGTCATTGATTGTGATAAAGTAGTAAGGCTAATCAAGAGAAACGTGGGGCACATCAAATATTGTTTATTTGAATTAAGTGAATACTAAATATGAATGTGCGTGTACATTCATTGGAGAAACCTCAGAGTGAACATGGTTTGGAGTATTAGGTCTGAAGTGTTTTTGTGCCCAGTGTCACAGCAGGAAAGTAGAAACTTGTATGATTACTAAAGCTGTACATTAAGACACATTTCAAGTAATCTGTCATAAAATACATACGTTTAACATCAGTCAATCCTGCGTCGTTCTGTGGAGGTTTGTATGCTGCTACTTCTTGATTGAGAGCATAATCCCCAAATGGCGACCGATCGATACATGTCCTTCATCCTGTGCTGATAAGAGAAGTCTTTTATCTGCTGCTAATAAACAGTGAGACCAGTTTATTCCCATTGTGCAGTCTATTGACACATGTATGGACTTTTTTAATGAGACACAGGGCGTGAAATATATAATGTATTAGCTATTTTTAAACTATTATTGCCCCTTAGCAAAACAAAACCATTAACATGAGTTTGAAAAGTTGTTGTATAGTTACATTCTCTTGCTTGTTTTCAAGAAAGCATCAACAGATTTATGATATTCAAACATAACCAAATTTAGTATTGAACAAAATACTGCATATACATAATCGTGTCGAACCTATGCTGCAGTATTGATTGAAAATAGGGTTAATAATAGAAACGTGTTTATTGACTTTATTGACAACGCTGCATTTCATTGTTACCAGCAATGAAATGATTACCATAGTTACATCATTTTAGCTCTATAGCTCACGACCGTCAACACTGTTTATTAACTGCTTGTAGGGATAAAATAGCATAATAATCTATACATGGTTCCGATTATAGTAGTAATCCAATGAGAGCGATTGATAGAGTAATTACGTTCCACAAAGCATCCTTTATACACAGACCATTTTAATCTGAATGACAAATACTGTATGTTGCCTTCAGTGCATGTGGCATTCAGAAACAGCTTCGTGTGAAACAAGCAGCCCTCTGTGCAATACTCTTTCATTACAAAATTAACTCGTATGAAATTAAATCCTAATCAAAGCTTTGTTGTAAATTAGCAATATAAGAGAAGGATTAGTAAAAAGAGAGATGCGTGAAGAAAGGGGTGGGGATAGGTGGTGGGTGAAGATACAATGTTTGTAACAATGCAGTAACATACAAACTTATACAAACTTGCTTCAATCAATCAACATTTGGAGCAGAATCATCTATGATTAATATTATCACACATTTAAAACCTCATAAACGTTTATTGCTCAATATTGCTTCCCTTAAATCCATCTTCACCACTATATGGGCATTTGGCTGGTTAAGACAGACACAGTTTATTTAGGCTATTCACTGTTTTTCTGTCCCAACTTTCAGGTTATAAAACATTATTGACTTCCCATTGGAGCCATGAGGGATCACTTGTGGACAGTTGCGTGTTACTACAACAACAGGGCCTCCCGCAAAGTGCAGCATGTGCTAATAAATTCATCGCTGATTTATTATTGCGTTGACTGATTGCGCGGATGTAAATATTGCAAGGGGAAATATATGGGGAGTTTGACAGAGCGTCCCTCCACCGCTGTCCTGTTGGGTCAGCGCTCCACTGCCACTCACCGTTATTTATTAGGCTACATATTCACTCTCTATCCATCACTGCATCGCCACCCGGTCCGGTCACATCTCTTTATGTTTATTACAGTGTCCCACCTTCTTGGAGCAGGGATGATTGACGTTTTCGGAGAGGCATGAGGTGGGACTTGGGGCTGCTTCTTCTCCAATCACGGAGCGAGGGGCGGAGGCTTTCCATCCATACTCCGATTATGAGTCAGTTACCAGACATAAGCGGAACAATAACACTTGGTGGCAATTGGACGCGAATACCATCCACACAGGCAAGTTCGGCACGTCGCTTTGGGGGGGAGCCGTGCGTAATGAGGGGCAACTGGAACAACGCCTCGCACTTTTAATCACATTAGGCGCGCGTAATGCTCAATGCTGTTTTTTCTCTCTTCCCTACAGTAGCGGCGCAGGAGTGGCCAAAGCCAAAAGCAGCGATTCAGATCAGATTTCACCTAAACCAGCTGGAAGAGAGACCGAGAGTGTTTCCTTCCCTCCTCCCGAATCTAGAAAAGCTTACCAAGGAAAAGGAGGAGTGTCGCGCTACTGCTGCTGCTGTGAGGCGCGGAGGGATCCACAGGAATTTCTACTGGATATTTTTCTCTTTCGGCGTTGAAGAAAAATAAATCAAACAAAGTTGGAGGTGAGGCAACCAGAGCCGTGGACGAGGATGGACGAGCAGCCGCGCTTGATGCACTCCCACGGGGTAGGCATGGCAGGACACCCCGGCCTGGCGCAGCACATGCAGGACGGCAACGCGGGGACGGATGCAGAGGGCAGGAAGCAGGACATCGGAGACATATTACAGCAGATCATGACCATCACAGACCAAAGCTTGGATGAGGCGCAAGCGAGGTGAGCCGTGCGCTAAAGATCTCACCACCATGAGACGTGCGAATGCGTGTGGGAAGCAAGTGAGCGCCAGTGGGGTCCAAATAAAAGCAAAAACGCCCACACAAGAAAACAGCTTGCAAACTTGTCATTTCTCAAGTTTCGCATCTGTTTTCTGTGGCACGTTTTTTTTTGGCCAGATGACCACTTATATACGTGTTACAAATGACTTCACAATGTAGTCCCCGTGCACTTTCACTATCCTTACGCGCAACGCACATAGAGTGGTGTGAGAAAGACCAGTCAATTCGAAACAAGACTTTTCTGACCATGTTGATACTCAAATAGCGGATATACAAAGTCAAAATACCCTTTACTGTTTCATGCAACATGTTATTCATAATTAATACCACATTTATTCTGCATGTGCCAAATTTGCCATCCTCAGCTTGAAGTAATCTCATTACATTTCTCACACAGGCACTGAACATTGGCTGGAGCTGTCAAAGTGTCTTTGGCAATAGTATTTGTTCCCCTGACTCAGTGTCTTCCACACAGGGGGTAAGGACCTAGCAGAGATATGTGGAAGATTCTATTTGGGTCAACAAGACATCATGGAATCAAGGAAGTGTTTGTAATAAATAGAAAACAGCTGGTTGTGGGCTTGTGAGGGAAAATGACACAAAATGTTCTCAGAAAAACGCAGACTAGAGTTCACTGGTTGAACTTGAGCAGTAGATTCAGAAATCCCTCCACACATGTTTGCATGAAGGAAATGTGAAGACATGCTGAAGCTGATTTGCCACTTGTTTGATTTGTGGTTGCATTTGTTTTCCTTTTATAGGAAGCATGCACTGAACTGCCACAGAATGAAACCAGCTCTGTTCAACGTCTTGTGTGAAATCAAAGAAAAGACTGGTGAGTTTTGAACACTTTATATATTTCTGCTGCTGTGATAAAAAGTTGTCGTGTTTTGTTTCGTCGCACAAATGGTCACTGTGTTTCCTTTTGATTCAATATGGAAAAAATGCCATGAATCGTGAGCAGTTTTTTTCAGTGCGTTCTATCACTTTGGACCAGGATTGCGTATATATGTTATTATAGTCAAATCTGTGGTCACCTACCATTACCACCCCCGCCTACCTGTGCTTGGTCTGGTCCCTGGATGCTTCCTTGTGATTGGTGGAGTGTGTTTTGCTACCGACATTTGGGCCTCTCCGTCAGGGCTTGGCTCTCTCTCACCTCCTCATGTGTGTTTTGTTTTCTTTGGCCTGCGTTTTCTGGGATTGGCGTTTGCAAAAGCGAGGATAGTTTTGCATGCGCAGGCAGGTGAGAGAGAGAGAAAGAGAGAGAGAGAGATGTAGTGTTTATGTTCACGACCAGGGTCAAAGCTGTGAAACTGGATGAATTATTAGTCAGTTAAGAGTGGAATAAAGAGTGAAGCGTTCTGTAATGATGAAACATACGGGACGATGAAAGATTCTCTTGGGAATGCAGATGTTTTCAAGTAAATAAAACACGTTAATAGCAATGCAACAGCCTTTTGGATTTCAGAGAGAAATACACACTTGTACTGGCAACATGTTTTTCTTGCGCCAAGTAACTCTATCCCATATGACTAAGAACTTGGCAACGCTTTTGATTTCCTTTTAGATTTCTTAGAGTGTATAGGGGGAAGACGTTGAGGCCCCCCATTCCTAAATTGCATAGCTTTGGGAAAAAAAAAAATAAAGTCAAAGAGAGTTATGCCTGGTCTTTTTGTAAACCGTCTGGCGTCTGTGGGAGTTCATACAAAGTTCGTTTCCAAAAAGACTAAATGACTTGGACCTTTTCCTGGCTTCCCTAGCTCCACACTCCCACCTCCCCCCCTTCTTCTCTCTCCTCCTCTTCCCACCACTCTTGGCAGCCAACCTCAATTTTTCCGAGTTTGGAAATGACAAAATATACACCGTGTCTGGCCTTAAGTGCATCCTGGTGATTTATTTTGCCCACTGACAAAAAGCACGTTGCAAACCCGCAAATCGGCCTCCTTCTAAGTGATTGTTTTTTTATTAGCCCAACGTTACCGTGTAAAAGTTGAGATTTTTTTTTTTTTTTACGAGAGAAATTTTAACGGTTGCCTCTTTTCCCTCGGCCTGAGATGAGCTGCTTCTGGCCTGTATAGTGCGGACCAGAGCTGAGAAATCTTCTCAGTGCAGTGACAGAGAAAATGACTGGAAGCCTTCACCATGGCATTTACAGCCGAATTTGCTGAGTGTGGTGTATATGGGAGCGCTGTACAGCCTGCAATTTGTCAGGACGTTTTTATATTCGTTACAAAGAGTCAGCTCCTCTTTTGCTTCCCCTACATTGTTGCAGTCAGGGGTTTTTAGCCAGAGGAGACCGGAGACTTGCTGCTGCTTCTTCGGCTCCTCGCTGCGTTCCTTGACCTCATGTTTCTACATTTCAGCGCACTATATATAAATGTTGCATGCGGCGATGTGCGTTGTGTGTTCTTTGGAGTTGTCAGAGCGGTGATAGGTGTTAAGGAAAGGGGGGAGAGAGAATTATGGAGCAGACGAACGAGGTAAAAGTGCATTTATAAAACAGGCAAGTGTAGCATTGTTGTCAAGATATAATTCAAACTTGATTTTATTACTTGAAAAAAATGTCTCCACACCTTATTTCAATACTGCAATGTTAATATATACCTTCAGTAGTTTTTTTAATGGTTTTAAGGTTATAAATAAGTTCTTCGGATGTAGATTAAAATGTTCAAGAAATGTAACATTTTGTATCTTTACTTGTTCAAATTAGTGTCTCGTTTCTATACTTGTTTTAGAGTTGATTAATGTTTGATCTTTGATACCTTTGAAAACCCTAGTGTGAAGTATGTCCTGTGTCTTATCCAGAAAAGTTACTAATTTAACCTAACTTTGAACAAAGACAATAGTTCCATGGAAGCCACACTTTGTTACTTCAGAACGCAGTAGACTTCATGTTTCCACGAGGATGCATTATTGAAAAGTAAATGTGTGTAAAATGAATGCAATTGAGTCTTTTTCCATAAAGTCATGAGTACAGCTCCGAGTAGTCTTCTACAGAAAGAGGAGGTCCTTTCTGTTTCCACAAACAAACAACAACAGCAGTCAACTGTTTGCTCAGAGCTCAAAGAAAATTGGGCATAAAACAGTTTGAATAAACTGCTCATGATTTTCTCACATGGTTGTAGTGTGTCCATGGAGCTGTTCTCCATGGACCATGCCAAAGTCCACATTCTGACTCCTGTTTGCAGTTTTGATTAAGGAAATTAGTTTCTTTGTAGCTACAAATCTCACCCACAGAAACATTTCTATCAAATTCCCAAGACATTTAAAAACATTTTGAGAATAGAAAACAAATATCCATTGACAGCAGTCGCAGAAAACAAATTTGTTATTGACCGAAGCCTCGAAGCTTTGTGTCTTTCAGTATAATGCAACATTTTTAACACTAGTAAATACTTGTAGATGAATAGATATTCAGAATTTGTAGTAACTATATTCAGATTAGTTACTTTACTGAAATCACAGGTTTACTCAAACATTTTACTCAACTTAATGTGTACATGTTCTAGATAACTCTTGATACAAGTGAATTTACTTCAGTACAAAGTAGTGTTCTGTACTGTTATCTAGTTTTGACATAGATAAAATATCAATGTCAAAACTAAAATAATGTAAAACTGAATAAATATATTAATTGTTACAAAATTCATTCTGAGGCGGGTAATCAGTATTACAGTATTTTAATTTTCAAGATAAGACAAGATAAGATAAATATTGATCTCACAGTGGAGAAATGTACATTTGGCATAAATAGTATCAATCAGGGTGTGCAAAAGACAGGAAATGTGCAAACATGTTCAAAAATAAAAAAGATATAGAGTATATTCTGTGCAATAACTTATTTTATGTACAATTTATAAGTGCCTACAGCAGTGCAAAGTTTTCCAGTATTCTCCCCAAGACAACACAAGGCCGTGCTTCCTGTGTATTGTGTTGTTTCTTGGTAATATTTCCTAAAATGCAGAGATATAAAAGCGCCCGTGTCCCTTTAACCACTGTCCCCACTCTGTTGACTGTGTATCTATGTCAGGGTCGCCGTGGTGTCAGTGCGTCCAAGTGTTTAGCAAGCTTAAACAGGCTCAGCTCTGCACACCGCCCCATGGAAAACCGCCGGCTTGTGTTACCACTCAGACGGCGCTTGGGCTGCGGCGAGTGTTGGATTTCACTAAAAACACTTGCACCCATCCCGCGGCCCCACTTCAAACTCCACTTATTGTTTCTCCGGTTCCTGAATAGTCTTCCTGCGCTTGCTCGACATCCAGAGGAACACACAAAAAAATCCTTGTTTGAAAAAAAATCACAGAGGGAGAGACGTACAGGTTCTTGGCAGCAATTTAAGGTCACAGAGTTTGATTTTTTTTTAATACTATTTAAGGATTATAAGCCATATGTCAGGTTTAGTCAAAGCTGGATTTAAAGTAACTGAGTTTTAAAAATATGAATCCATGTCCGTGACTAAACCTGGATTACGTCAGGGCTACATCGCAGATCTAAACCAAGCATTTGAATTAGTCCAAAATAGAAAACAGAACTATTCAAGTCTTAACTCAACAATTTCACTGCTCATTTGCCAACATACGGCAGGCACAGTGGTTCTCAACTTGTGGGTCGCAGGAGCGTTTTTGGCGGGTTGTGAGCTGTTCCTGGGACACATTTTAAAGATATGTATCTACTACACTGCAAACAAGTCCTTGAAGAAAGTGATGCTAGTTTGTATTCTACAAACAGCTACATTTCATAAACATTTGACGGAAACTGACTTGAAAATGTACTTTAACTATAATGAGTAAAACTTAGATTTCTTGAAATTAGCCTCTCAAACAAAATTGGCTTATTTACAGATTTTATTTTTAATCTATTTCTGTGATTCCAGGGTCTGATGGAGAAATGTAGTACATAATGTTAACTTTATTCAATACTTATGATACTATAATTTGTGAAAAAATACAGTATTTGTTGAAGTCCAGACTGAAGAAAGTTATGACTGAATTAGTATTTATAAATTTACCTTTAGCATGCAGGAGGATATCGTGGATTGACTTTAATATGATGTTTTTTGCAGTTTCAAAGCCCTTTTGATGCGTGATTGTTATCTGTTCCCGTAAACCACTGTGAAATGCACCTTGTACAAATTGCTTTACAAATACACTTTGATAGATTGACATTTGACACGATGCACACATTCAGTTCTTATTTGGGTCACTCTTGGCTCTTATATGTTGATGACGGGTGCCGAAACCATTTCAGTTGAGAACCAGCCCTCTAACATGCACATCAATCCTGAAAAATCTCATTTTGTCGCTGCTTTTACTTCTCAATCCTCGCTCGTCTAAGTAAGAGAAGCCAGACACTGAACTGTGTTAGCGGTGTCAGATTTCAAACTCTCTCTGGCTCCACGCATGTGTCTGTTGCACCACCACCGGGGCCTGGCTGCCACTACTCTCCGGTTCAGGCCACTCCGGAGTCAGCAGCCTCATATTACCCCCATCGCGGGACGGGGTCAGATGGAGAGCTCCCCGCATGACTAATACGATCAGACGGATAATGCATTACGCCGCTTGAACTTCTCGGAGCGTGAGGGAGAGACCTGCTGAATCAGTGACCGACCCCTCGCACTCATGCTGCTAATTATCCACATAAACACATCGGCCAAACTCAGTGGACTCATAGCAGCGTTAACGGCTCCACTTCAGGAGGGGCCTGGTGCAGTGCCCTGTGAAATGTGTTAGAAATGACACCCCTGGCTGTTAAGGTGGACTGGGTAGTTGTTTACTGTTGTATGATGAGGTGTGAAAACCTGTTGCTTGTTCAAATACATTAGGATAAAATGAA